CAACAAAGCATCGTCGTTGTTGCACTAATTCTTACTCGAGGCGTCGAAGGAAAAATCTAGAACCTTCAAGAATTTTCGACGAGAGAAGAGTAGGAGTAATACCCTTGGATGATCGTATAGTATATTATATTTCGGGTCGTAAACTTGCTCGGACTTACCGAGTTTTGTTTCTAAACATTCCCTCGAGTGCGCGTTCCGGTCCGCACGTGCGTACCAGTCTAGGCGCACATGCTGTACGTCGGATAACGCGTATGACCTTTCTTTTGTTTGAAATTCATGGATCTGCATCAATCCCGAACAGTTCCACTGACCATGAAATGATAGTATTAGATATTATTTACCTCATCATGGTGTAATGAAGCCGAACAGCTCCATCACCAATTTAAGAGGAGTATTCAACGGATCAAGCCCAACAACATCGGGACAATCATTAAATGATATAATGCACACAGAAGCTAACTTAAATCCAGATATCATAGATTTGCTATTTGGATACGTAGACATCCATACCTATTTTCCACAGACATCACAAAGATGTTGTTACGGAATAATTGCACTGTCCCTTCACTTGTCAGCAACACCTCCACTCAACATCTAAAGGCGGTTTTTTTAGTCTGATCCCAGACAGCAACTATATTCATTAATAAGAGTGTGCATAATTAGTTGTTGATGCTTATAAAATCAACAACACCATCAAGGAACATCTCGCGTAGGAAAACTATTCACTACAGAATCAGTTCAAGCAGTTAAATCATTCTGATTGAACATAGTATATACCCTTCCATCAGATAATTTGAACATAACAATAATGTAATTGAGAATAAACTTTAATAAGCCATATTAAACGAAGAAGCGCACACTGTAGTAATGTACACCCCTTCCACGAAACTCCTTCCCAAGCATCTGCTAGGGCAGGCGGCAAATTATAATAAGCTATCGAACATTGGCAGTTCGAGCCAGAAAATCATACATTTTCGTACACAATGGATTTGTCAATCTAAGCTTTTTGAATCTAAACACAATACTTTATAATAAATATATATAACTAATATTACGGATTATAAATAGCGTTTTTAAAAGTTGAAAAATAATTTCTAATTTTTGTACTGAATACTATAAACGTTGCATCTGGTTATCGTTCCCTCTTTAATTATTCCTATAATTTTTTAAATTAAATCTATAATTCTTTTTCTAACTGTAAATTAACTT